TTCTCTTTTGACAGACACTAGCTCCCATTAGTCATGAAACTGCCAAAATCAGAGACAGAATTTCCAGCAATCATTTTCTGTTCCATATCATAAAAGGAAAGGTTTGTCGATGAATCATTAAGGAATACAAATTTTCTTAATCCTGCAGACATCTTCCTAAAATCCAGAATAAAAAATCAGAGTCAATCATGACTGGACGTAAAATAGAAGACATTGACATAGACATCCCTTGAACCATGGTGAAAACTAATAAGGAGAAGCAGTTTCTACAGAACAATGATAGATTTAACTTTTTATTTAGATCCAAGGGGATTTACCTAGCATGGCTTAGAAATCCACTTGAAATTAATGAAGAATAACTGTAGAGGATAATGAAAATAAAACCAAAAATTCAGTCGGAAAACAGGTAGGGGAAATGATCATTGAGAATTATTATAATCAAATGCCTTAACACTGGCTACTTGATTCATTTTTGAATGGTGGTTATGAGTATTAACTAGGGCACAGGAGATGCATCAATGAACAATCACATTTTAGCCAGAGGCCCGCAGCAGGGATGGATTTGCTATACTTTAGGACAGACAAAAAGCGTGTGTGGCAGGCATGCAGTGATCAGTGGACAGAGTGGCATGAGATCAAGTGAGCAGGCTCTGTAAGGATGGATCACAGGGGGCTCTTCAGGCCACAGGAAGATGTCTGGATGTTATCCTGAGTAGAATCCTTGGAGAGTTTAAAACAGGAGAGTCATTTGGTCTGATTTACTTTTTAAAAAGAATAGTCTGGCAATTGGATGGAGAATGGACTGAACTTTTACTGTCAAGAATGAAGAGTACAGTCTGGATGCCATTATAGTAGTTCAGACAGAAAAGTGAGGCTTAGACTACAGAGAGATAGTGAGAAGTGGATGAAATTCAGCATGTATTTAAAAAGTAGAATTAAGACATTTTGTTACATAAGAAAATGAGAGGATTTAGTAATAACTTCCAGGCTTTTGACTTGAACTATACTTGAACTATACTATGTGCTAATATGGGAAAGAACCAGTGTGTGTGTGTGTGTGTGTGTGTGTTAGTGCAGTAGGAACAGAATCAATTGCATCTTAGATTTGGTATATTTAACATACTTACTAGGTCTCCAGATGGAGATGCCAGATAGGCAGTTGGATGTACAAATTTGCCACTCAGAGACAGGTCAGGACTATAGATAATGAGTCATTAGCATATAAATAGTATTTAAAAGCATGAGACTGGATGAGATCTCTTAGGAGGAAAAAGTGCTGAGAAAAATAGAAGAGGTCCAGCATTGAGCCTCCAAACCCTTGAATATTTAGAGATAAGGCAAAAGGGAACAAGTGCAGCCAGGGAGGTCCAGAAAAAAGGAGGGTCTTGTCTTGGAAAATGGAAATGGGGCTGTTTAAAGAGGCTGGAACTATTCAGCTTTTGCTAAAAGACTGCAAAAGCCAAGAATAAAAAATGACCACTGGATTTGCCAGCATGAAGGGCAGCAGTAACGTTGCTGAGAGCAGCTTTTGGAGACTGGTGGGGAAAGAAGCCTGTCTGGGGTGGGTTAAGGAGATTAAGTCATGTGAGCAAGTAGTAAATGAGTTTTGCTGAGAATGATGAGAAGAGGGGCAGAAAAATGCAGCTCCATGGTATCATGAGAAGTTCCCTTTCCCAAATAGAAGACGTCCTAGGACATGTTTAACGGCTGGTGGGCTTGAGACACAAGTGGCATAAATGCAATGATGCCAGTCAGGGACTTCTACAGAAGTAAAGTCCTTCCAAAGGAAAGAGGGGATGGAAGGTGGTCATGAACACAGAGAGAGGAGCTGATTTTGTCAGCAGAAAGAATACCTTTTCCATTGTTACAGGAGGAAAAACCTTCCTACCTTCCTACCTTTCTTCTTCCCTTCCCTTCCCTTCCCTTCCCTTCCCTTCCCTTCCCTTCCCTTCCCTTCCCTTCCCTTCCCTTCCTTTCTCTTCCTTTCCCTTCCTCTCTTTCTTTCTTCCTCTCTTTCTTTATTTTCTTTCTTTCTTACTTTCTTTCTTTCTTTCTTTCTTTCTTTCTTTCTTTCTTTCTTTCTTTCTTTCTTTCTTTCTTTCTTTCTCTCTCTCTCTCTCTCTCTCTCTCTTGTTTAAAATATTACAAATAGTAGAACATATGTCTCCCTTTTCCCCTATTGACCTCCCCCTGGCCTCCCCCACCCCAACCCCTGGCACATGCCCTCACCCCCTTAGTGTCTGTCTCTATTGGTTATGCTTATATGCATGCATACAAGTCATTTGGTTGATCTCTTACCGTCACACCTCCCCCCCAAAATCTTCCCTACCATCCTGTTGAAGTTTGACAGTCTCTTTGATGCTTCTGAAAAGATCAATCTTATTGAACACCTAGTTATATGCTCATTCTAGAATTACTTGCGTAATGAATCAGGTTAAAGTCTTGCTCCACTGGAAGCTGTATTCCAGCGAGGGACCAAACCCCAAACAAGTGAATAAGTAAACAAGAATGTTTCATATGAGGATGGGGGCTCTTTGGGAAATAGAACGTGGTTATGTGATCCAGAGTAACCTGGCGGAGGACTGTTTCACGTAAGAGTCGGAGATGTGTCCAGATGAAGTTGAGACCTGAATGTCCAGAAGGAGACAGTCAAGATGATCTGTAGGAGGAGCATTTCAACAGAGGGAACATCCAGTGCAAAGGCTAAACAAACGTGGAGTATATTCAAGGAACGAATGAAAAGAAAGTCAATGTGGCTGGAGCAGAGGAGGTGAGGGGGCAGGACAGAGAAGAATTTGAGAGAGAGAGAGAGAGAGAGAGAGAGAAAGAGAGAGAGAGAGAGAGAGAGAGAGAGGCAGGCCTGGGGTCAAGGATAAGGGGCATTGACTTTGTTCTAATGTGATGGGAAGCCCTTGGCAGGTTTTAATCAACAGAGTAAAAGGATCTGATCTCTGATGGAGGTAGAGTAGGATTAGAAAACAAGAAAATTCCCAGTTGAGATTTTTGGCAAGAGAGAATTATAAACAGCAAAGGAATCAGTGTATGCAAACAGACAAAAGAAAGAAGTGGAGCAAGACTCTAAGAAAGAAATTTGCTGCCCATAGGACTACTCACAGCCGTGTGCCCTATAGACACCAGCCTCAGAATGTTCCAGAGAGCTTGTTAAACCTCAGCTTCCTGGGCCACAACCCAAACCTATGAATCTCTGGGGAGGGGGAGAGGTGGACCAAGAACCCTGCATTTTAAAAAGGCACTGGGAGTGTTTCTTAAGCATGCTCAAGGGCAAGGACTGGCCAGGAGCCAAGGGATAGTCCAGGGAAGGATCACAGTAGGAGCAAAAGTCTGGATGGGGATATGGGCAAAGCATGAACAAAGAACCACAAAATAACAGTCAACAAAGACAATCAATGGTGCATTCATGACAGAAGAACAGGGAATTTGGAGGGTCAGGCTTAGTGGGATCCAATTACAAATGGCCTGAAAGGCTGAAGACATTGGATTTTTTTTTTTTTTTAATCCCATAGGTAGTAGGAAATCCTTTTGGATTTTTGAGCAAAGAAATAGAATAATGATTACACACACACACACACACACACACACACATACACACACACACACACACACACACACTTTCAAAATCCTGATTTTCACTATTGGAAAAATGAAGGATTGAGATCAGAATGGCCAGAGGAGGTTGTGTGTGGAGTTGAGTGACAGGAGGGTCCTGCTGGTCCTGGGAGGGGATGCATCGAAGGAAGGATGAATTGGCAGGACTAGGAAAGAGCTTGACTTTCCATTGATAATAACCTCTTTAACATCTAGAAATGGGAATGCCATGCTGCTGAGAAGTCAGGTCTGCAACTGAGCCTGAGAGAGGGGTTGGCGGAAGCTGTGAAGGTGCGTTCAAAGGCAGCTGATGGTCAGGAGAAAGTTAAACGTTGGGAGGCAGACACCATCTGTTGTAACAGAACCACTTTGTGTGGTTACCCTTAGCTACCTGGAGGTGGCTGAGCTGAAGTGCTGGCTCCGTAAGAATGGTCATACAGTGTAGCCTTATTACTGCTATTCAGTAGTAACAGCTAGCATCTTAACTCTCATTTGCCCATTTCACCTGCCACTCAGAGAAGATCTGGAAGGCCTTTTAGCACTGGAATCATCTCACAGATGAGGAAACTGAGGATCAGGGAGCTGAACGACTTGCCCAAGGTCACCCAGTGAGGGAGGTCTGCCTGCCACAAACTTCTTAATAAACGAGGAATTCACTGTACCCTGGAGGTAGTGAGACCTCTCTTCTCTCCAGGAGGCTCTAATCTTAAAAAATAAATAAATAAAACACTTCTTTAACTTGTGCCACTCCTGAGGGTTAGAAGTGGTACCAATAACATTCAATGAGACCTCCTGGCACCCTCCCCATGACAGAAGGCACACAGCGTAAAGACAACCAGCATTAATCCATGCCTCACGTGTCCTAAATAAACCTAGGTGAGAATCTCATGACCAATATGACAAATCAAAAAGTAAAATAGAAATGCATAGTGAGCACCATGCCTGGGCATTAGGCGTTAGTAATTCTGACTCAGGGCAGGCGGCAGGAGGATCTGCTGCTCTTACTGGGCAAGGAGGACCCTGGGGCTGCAGAAACTCCCGTGCCCGGTGGAGCTTGCAGCCTGCAGCGTGGCCCCAGACCTCCGGTCTGAGAGTGAAAAGCACCTGCTGAGCCAGGCGAGGGCACCCAGAAGGCACCCAGAGTGCACCCACCGCCTCCCCAGGCACATCCCACAGTGCCCGCCTCCAGGTCCGGTGGTCCCAGCCCCGGAGACCCAGCGTGAGGATCTCCAGGACCCAGAGATCCCAGGGGTCCCCCAGAGCGAGCAGGAGGCAGGCAGGCGTCTGGCACTGCCCCCACCGTCTGGCTTTGGACCCTGCTTTGCATGGCGGTGCAGAGGTCTTCCTGCCCCAGACAGCCGCGCCCTCCCTCCGCGCTCCCCCTCCCCGCTCACCGAGGACCCCCGGCGTGATGAGAGCCAAGGAAACCCACAGCAGGCCCGCGGCACCCATGCCCTGGCGGCAGCCCCGGCGGGATGTGTCCAAGCCCCACGAGCCGCTGGCAGCTCCGGGAGGGCCGGGCGGGAACGGGAGGCGGCTGCATGCGGGGAAGGTGCCTCTTAAATAGGGGCTGGCACCACGTGCAGCTCGTGCACCTGCAGGCTGCCTGCCTGGGGGCGGGACCCGTGCCGGCGGGCGGGCAGGAGGAGGAACTGGGACGCCAGCCCTCAGCTCAAATCCAGCCCCTAGCTCAAATCCAGCCTCAGCTCAAATCCAGCCCTCAAGGGCAGTGACTTCCTAACTTCCCAAGCATCTCAGGGTATCCACTTTTGCCTCTTTGGAGAACTGAAACAGAAGTTTCACGAAATACTAATCACTCTGATTAACCTACAGTGACTGAATCTGCCCTTCTCCTTTCTCCCTTCCCTTCCCTTCCCTTTTATTTATTATTATTATTTTTAATTTTTTGGCTTGGGTCCATGAAATTCATTTCAAAACAACAGTTTACTTAGAAAGGAAACTTATGAATAGCAGCAAACCTCTACTATTATGTTCTTTTTATTTTGAAATAATTTCTACAGAAAACTTGCAAGAATGGTACAAATTATAATATGTATATAATTTTCCAAATGTTAACATTTCACTGTTTTCTTTCTCATTCTCACTTTGGATGGACGGATGGATGAATATAGAATAGATATAGAATAATAGATAGATATAGTGCTATATATATGGATATATACCTATAATAATAAAAGCATAATATGCTAATTAGACAAGATAGCTGAATGACCTATCAGACATCCTTCAATGAAGCTGAAGTAGTGGGGACTGATCAGGCAGGCAGGTGAGTGGTTAGGGGCAATCAGGCAGGCAGGCAGGTGAGCAGTTAGGAGCCAGCGGTCCTGGATTACGAGAGGGATGTCCCAGATTGTGAGAGGGTGCAGGCAGGACTGAGGGACTCCCCCCACCCCAACCCCCCACCCCTTACATGAATTCCGTACACTGGGCTTCTAGAATATATATAAAATTGTTACTTTGGAACTGCCTGAGATAAGTTATAGGCATGACACCCCTCCTCTCAATACTTCAGTGTGTATTTCCTAAAAATGAGAACCTTATCTTACATAACTACAATGCAATGAGCAGAATCAGAAAATTAATATTGGTACAATACTATTACCTAAGCAACAGATAGTACTCAAATTTCTCCAACTGCCTTGATGATGTTTATTTTAGCAAATACACACACGCTCACACACACATTTTTTTTTTTTTGTTCTAAGATCATACATTTCATTTGACTGTTATGTATGTTTTTGTCTCAATTAATCTGATAAAAGTCTTCAGGGTTTGTTTGTAGTGTGTGTGTGTGTGTGTGTGTGTGTGTGTGTGTGTGTGTGTGTGTTTGGGCGCGCACACGCAGGTGTTTGTCTTTCATGACCTTGACATTTTTGAAGAGTACGCATCAATTACTTTGATAGAGTGACTTTTTGAAAAAAATGGTTATTGATTTCAAGGTGGAAGGAAGAGGAAGAGAAAGATAGAAACATCAAGGATCAAGGATTAGAGATAGTCATTGATTGGCTACCTTTTGCAGGCCCTATATTGGGGATCAACCTTGCAATTGGAGCATATGCCCTGACTGGGAATCAAACTGTGACCTCCTGATTCATAGGTCAATGCTCAACCACTGAGCCATACCAGTCAGCAGTAGAATGACTTTTAAATTAGTTATTTATTGCATAGTAACAAATTACCCTAAACATATTGATTTAAAGCAAGAATAAAAATTTATTATCTCACACGGTATCTCTGTCAGGAATTTGAGAGCAGCTTATGGAGGTAGTTCTGGTTTGAAATTTCTCCTGAGGTTGCAGTCAATACATCAGCTAGATATGCACTCATCTGAAGGCCAAATTGGGACTGGAGGATCCTCACCAAGATGGCTCACTCACATGGCTTTTGGCTGGAGGCCCCATATTCTTACCATGTGGACCTCATCATAGGACTCTGAATATCCTTCCAGCATGTTTGAAACATGGTTCTGGTTTCTTCTCCCATAATAAGAAAGGCAGAAGCTACAGTGTCTTTTAAAATCTATCCTCCAAAGTTATACTATGCTATTTCCATGATATCCCATTGGATACCATGATAATTAATTTTATGAACCCAGATAATGGTCAAACATTATTCTGAGTCTTTTTGTAAGAGCACTTTTGAATAAGATGAACATTTTTTATAGTGGTAACTGACATTTATTTTTATTCCTATTTTTCCAGGTTTTATTGAGATATCATCCTATCTAATAAAAGAGTAATGTGCAAATTAACCATCACTCCCTACACTCACAAGCCATGCCCACCAGCCAATCAGGAGCAAATATGCAAAAAATCCAACCAAGATAGCTACAGCCACAGAGAACAGGAGGGAGGCTTAGGTTTTCCTGGCAATGGAGGAAGCCAAGCTTTCTGCACAGCCTGGCCAGCCCAGGCCTCTGCTCCAGGCTACAAAGTTTCAATTATAGAAGATACGTAAATCCCAACAGAAATGGCTGCCACCACAGAGCAAGCAGAAGGCTTGGCTCTGCTCCAGGCTACAAAATTTCAATTGTAGAAGATAAATAAACCCCAGATACCAGGGCCTCCACTTGCATCACAAGGGGGTCTGCCCCTCACCCAGGCCACCCCAACCCCAAGGGAACCCCCACCTTGATCTGGGACACTCTTCAGGAGAAACCAGCTGGTCCCCACCTATGCACCAGGCCTCTATCCTATCTAATAAGAGAGTAATATGCAGATTGACCATCACCCCAACACACAAGATGGCTGCCCCTGTGTGGTCAAAGATCCTGCCCTCATGTAGACACAAAATGGCCACCACAAGATGGCCAGCAGGGGAGGACAATTGGGAGGGACCAAGCCTGTAAGGGAGGGCAGTTGTGGGTGATCAGGCCATTTGGGAGGGACCAGGCCTGAAAGGGAGAGCAGTTGAGGGCAATCGAGCTTGCAGGGGAGGGCAGCTAGGGGTGACCAAGCTGGCAGATGAGGAAAGTTGGGGGTAACCAGGCCTGCAGGGGAGAAAAGTTGGGGAGGACCAGGCCTGGAGGGGAGGGCAGTTAGGGGTGACCAGGCCTGCAGGGGAAGGCAGTTAGGAGCAAACAGGCTTGCAGGGGAGCAGTTAAGCATCAATCAGGCTGGCAGGGGAGTGGTTAGGGGGGGATCAAGCTGGCAGGCAGAAGCAGTTAGGGGCAATCAGGAAGGCAGGCAGGCAAGCAGTTGGGAGCCAGCAGTCCTGGGTTGGGAGAGGGATGTCTGACTGCCCATTTAGACCCGATCCCAGTGGGTCTAAATGGGCAGTTTAACATCCCTCGAAGGGTCCCAGATTAAAGAGGGTGCAGGCTGGGCTGAGGGACACCCCACCACCCTGTGCACAAATTTCATGCACCAGGCCTCTAATCCTATATATATGATAATTGAGTGATATGCTAATTAGCCCAGATGCCTTAGCAGTCATGACCAGTCAGGGCCTGGGAACGGCCCCCAGCGGAAGTGGTCACCAGCAGAAGTGGCCACTGGTGTAGGCACACGCAGGCCCACATACGCCTGCCACATTGCCTGGCCCAGAGGCCACCCAGCCACAAGAGTCACTGGAGACTTTAGTTAAATTCAATAGTTACAATCACTAAGCTCTGTGAAAGCTGGCATCCTCAAACACTCGGGACCCTCAATCATACAAATTAATAGGAAATTGCATAATGCTTTGACCTTACTGTACACACTTTAGTACAGTTTAAAAATTATGCTACATCCTTCAAGTAAGTTCAGCAGCTGACTGAGGAGAGCCAGCGCTGAGAAACGGCAGCCCCTGCTCTGCTCTCTTGAGTTTGTGGTTTCCAAGGAAACAGCCAGAAGGGATGATAAATCCTCTGCAAATGGCTCAGCCAGAGCCTATCCAAAGTGGTGGCAAGCGGGGGCTTGGTTTAAATCGAGCCTTTCCCATAGTAGATGACTCTAACCCTCCCTGGATCAGGCAGGTTCCTGTGGAGCGCAATCTCCACGCAATACAACAGGAGCCCCCGTTTTGTCCCTGGTGATCTCACGTGCGTTAGCTCGGGGCAGCGGGGAAGGAAGGGAAAAGGCATCACACGGGGCAGCTCTGGTGAGTTAAGCAGAAGGAAGCCGTGTCTGGCAGACTTTCCCCTGCCACCCCCTTCAATGTGTAAGAAGAATCAAATAAACCAATACAAACACCCCTCCCCTGCCCCGGAGAGATCCGGGACTGCCCAGGCATTGCGAACCTGTCCCCCTCCTCATCCAAATGGACAGGTTAGGAAATTAAAGAAAGGAGAAGCCTCTGAGGAAGGGGATCTCTGGAACCACACCCCTGCCCTCCCTTTGGACCTGATCTCTCAGAGCACAGAGCCTGACCCCACCCCCAGCCGATTTGCATATCCCAGACCCTCAGATGCTTCCAGGCACTGGGCATGTCTTCCCAGCCTCCCAGCCACTGACCCTCACAGTCTCCTACCCCAGAAGCTCTCTGACTCCACAACTTTTGGTCTTTATAGCTTAAATGCATGGTGGGTGTAGTTGCTTCTCCATGGATTTTATTTGATAAGAACTCAGCGAAGTCGCTTAGCAACTGATCTGCTCAGACTTCATCATGACCCACCTTAGTTGGCTTTGATAGCAAAGCAATCCTATTCTTTTATATTTTAAAATAGATTTTTATTGATTTCAGAGAGGAATGGAGAGGGAGAGAGATAGAAACATCAATGATGAGAGGAAATCATTGATCTGCTGCCTTCTACATGTAGATTGAGCCCGCAACCCAGGCATGTGCCCTGACCAGAATCGAACCTTCAGCCCTCAGGCTGAAGCTCTAATCACTGAGCCAGCTAGGGCAAGCAATCCTGTTCTTAAAGACTTGATTTTTGTCATAAAAAGTGGATTTTATCATATCAAACCAATATACATTTTTAAATAAAATGTCTCTTCATTTCTACTAAT